CGTCTGATGACTAGTAGGCTGTTGCAGAGATGCAGACAGACATACTCCGTTCAATCTTCTTTCTCTTTTCGACCAATACAACTCTTATTTTGCCAATATCGTACATTTATACGAACGATATGAAAGAGACTAACAGTCATGTACATCGTATTCTTTTTTCTTTTTTTTTTCTTCTTCGTCATACCGTCCGTTCATACATATTATGGACATGTCCCGCTTTTTCATCGGTTAGACAGAGGTGAACAAATGCATGTATATCTTTCTGTTCAGGTTTTTTTTTGGTCTTTCTAGGTCACTCTCTTTTTAATATGCTCCAATGAATCGTTATGTGAAACTTCTTTTTTTTTAAAAATGAATAAAAATTACATTTTATATACTACAGTCCGAGGTGATGCATTTCAAGTATTCAGAAAAGAAAAATGAAGAGAGCAAAAAATGAAAACGGAGAATTTTTTATTCATGTCATTCACCTAATCATCGTCTGATGCACTTGAATATAATTGCATACGTTTGCGTAATATAAAGAGAATGAGGAGACGCGATTAAAAGCCAATGCACACTCGAAATATAAAAATAAATGACTTTATATACGTATATGTGAGAGAAGAGTAAGTAAGACGAAAACTATTCAATGCCAAATGATAATAAAGAGAATAGAAACAGTACAATATGAACGTATGTCTAGTGATGATAACAAAAACTCAGTACATGTGTTCTACTCAATCATTAATTTTAAACATCCGATTTGTTTATCTTACTAATATGTATATGTAAGTTGATGCTAACAAACAGAATACAGGATATAAAACTACTTAGAAAAGGACACGATTCATCTAATAGATGCTTCATGGTTATCAAAGATGAATGATTGAAACTGTCAAATATATATAAAAGATAATTACTTTTTATGTATATCTATATAGATAAATAATATTCAATATTCTTTACATATGATGTGTAATAATCCTTCTCCTCTTGCTTACATACAAAATTCAATATCAATGGTTTCTTCTTTCTCTTGTTCACAAATATATATATAGAGACACTCTAGATCGAGATTCAATTACATCATATAAGAGTGACCTTGTATATTCACTACTGTAATATTCTTTTAAAGGATTATATATGTTGCAATAAAGCTCGTTTCTTCTCAAGGGAGATCAATGAAATAGTATTCGTAACTAAATCAAATGATAATAAAATCAACAAGCAGAAAATTTGACACAATTACAATTAGTTCCTTCATAATAGCGATATTCATTGCTAATTGAAAGCTAAATCAAGTATAATTTAAATCGTAATCTAATTGAAATCTTAGATAATACAAAACATACTATCTTACCATTTTCCTGTACACATTGACTGTTCATGTTGGCTACTTAAACTTGATATATATCAAGTTGTATATATACACTCCTCTTTTTCCAATGAACAGATGGAACAATCGGCAAATAATAACAAATGTCGTCATCTCTCACCCTCGCATTTACTTGATAATTACATAGAAAGACCAACGGAATGGATTAGATTCGATAGAAATAGTTATCTGTAAACAGCATGAATTGTCAAGTACATTTAATGTGTTGATTAGCCTGATAGACATGTAAACATATGTATAATCTTTACAGTATTACTATGAGACCATGAACTTTTTTCCTATTATAGTACTTATGATCTAAGAGTCATATATCTGATATTCTTACTTAAATGTCTATCTTTCAGTTTTTTTAATTCTATAACACAAAAAAAGAACACTCATTATTTCAATACGTTTTAAATGAGAATAGAAATAATGATATGTAAAACTATCAGAAAAATCTTATCAAGTTTTAGATACATCTACACGCCTTTAGTCTAGACGATTGATTGGAAAGTTAAGAATAAAACTTTCATTGAGATTATTAATAACAAAGACAACATTAAAAAGTAATAAATAAAAAAAAAGAAGAAGAAAACTTACGCCTGTTGATACAGGTTCATATAACGGTTATCAGTAGTAGTAGTACGGCTATAGTTACACTTCTTTTTCTTTTATAACAAATGTTATCCGATTCTTTACACCAGAGGAAAAAAAAATCATTCGATGTCCATAAATAGTAGCAGCAGTAGTGATACAGATAATGATCGATGGTATAGTTATAGGCATGGCATTCACTCTCGATATATTCTCTAGAGAGATCAAAAAGAAAAAGCAGAACTCTCACCTTGACGTTAAAAGCTACAAACACGCGACGAAGTTGAAGAATGGCTATATGTCTATAGTATCACGCGTCTTTGATGTTGAACAATTATCTTGTTGTCATTTATATTATTCTAATGGACTTTTTTGCTCTTGTCTTTAAATGATCGATTGCAGACATGCTTTCTTTCTATGTTTTTTTTTCTTCTTCTTCTTTATTCACTTTTTCATTTTACTAAAATAGGTATATAGAAAGAGACATGACCGAAGAGCGCGACAAAGCGAGAATATTCAACGTTTTCTTTTCTTCTCTGCTTTCTTTTTTTTACACCCGCCCATTTCTTTTCTCTCCTTTGGCCAACGGCGATGACGGTAGTGTGCTACAATGAACTGGGAAGATGACTGAAATCGAAATTGTTTTTTTCAAAAGAACGAGATATGACCTTTTTATTGTACGTCCTATAAGCTTGACGATTGATTGAAGATAGAATCTATATTGTATTAAAAAAGAAAACGGGAATGTTTTTCTAATAAAACCCCCTTGAGGCATAAAAAATATTGGATTCTTGAAATTGAACAACACACATGTGTGAATAAATAAGATCTGTTAAAAATAAGAATCTTATTATTTGCTGTTAGAAAATTCGGACTTTGTTTAATTAAATATTGATCAATAACATCATCACGTTATGCACATAATGTTTATTTATTTAACAATAAATCAAATCAAATTAGATTTATTATATTTATATTATTCATGTGAGCGTAATCTATCATTTTTATGATATTTTAAAATATACAGTAGACAGAAGACTCGTCTCGTATCATGACCCAATTGCTTATATTGTATTTATTATCTATTGTTCCCTCTGAGTCCATTAGTCCATGAGAAATATTTTTGTTTTGTTTCAATATCTTAACGTAAAAATAGAAGGCCGTACTATTATTGACGACGATATCATTCAATAATAACTATAGATTAGCTGTCCCTTCTAGTCTAGTTGACTCAAACCATCTGCCTGAATAACTAGACGTATAGAATGTAAGTCTCATAAAAAGTCATCTTTTGTTCTGCACTGTCGTCTATGATTATTGAAGTTGACTTAATGATTGCAAGCATGAATATATATGAAAAAGTATCGAAATAGTCTTTCAAGCATTAATAACTACAATTGTTCGCAAACGAATTAACTATTTAATATAATATTGAAAGCATTGAATATCGATTTCAAATGTATATTCAATCTTCTGATTTTTTTATTTGATTTTTCAAGTGTAATTAAATACAAAAAAAACTTCAAAACTCATTAAATTTTACAAATTCTAGCACGAACTATGACAGAATCTTTATATGTGAACATTGAATGGCTTATATTAAATTATAATTCATATACTACCATCTGCATATTATATAACAGAGACCAATATTTGAATAAGCTAATGCATCAATTAAAATAAATATAAAGTCATTTAATATTGATTTTTCTTAGTATTCTTTTTATCTCATAATTAATTATTCTAAATGAGATTTATTAGCAAATGTCAGGTATAAAAGTTACTATTTCTGGTAGTTGTAGAGCAAAATCTGAAATAGTTGATGCGTTATTACATTTTCTCGTTTTGACATGCATTATATATCAGAACTGATATTTAAACAAGACTTTATTCAACACAAGTATATATAATTAACTTACACGTGTTTATTAAATGTCTCATTGCAAGTTATATTTGCATGTGTACTTTTATAGTTTCGTAATGTTATTAATCTTGGCAGGCAAAGATTCATCGTTATAGGTGATAGAATTTTTTTTCTTGTGACAGTATAAATTTTAACAAGGAAGTTTTTTTTCTGAATGCTAGTCGATCTTAAAAGAAAGAACGTTTTTTTCACTTTTCAGTAGTAGTTTATTGTGTTTAAAAGGCCTTGAGACAATTCCAAGAGTTAAAGTACAAATTATATGTTTGTATAAGCTTTTTTAGAAGAAAAGAAAAAGTATTTGCTGAGCGCTGAATGCATAAGTTTACTACTACTTTTATTCAAATATTTAAATTTCTGCGTTCGAAAATTTAATCTTAAAAGTAAATATTCAATTTACTCAAGAAAAAAAGTTCCTATAAAAATCTAGTTTATTTCGAGAGCATCTTGATTACATTAGTTTTCATGACAAATCGATTTTATGAATTATTGATAAATGTAGGCGTGAATAACAAGAAAAAAAAGAAGTTTTCTATTTCTTTATTATATAATAATAGAATTTCTAAAGTATTGGTATTGAAAGCTCATTTACCGATCGATCGTTCAATTGATTGGTTGAAGGACATTTTCATGCAAACTTTTCCTATTATATATGTGGTAAAAATATTAAGTTATTTAAGTTCGCATGTTGAACAATAGAAAAGAAGAAAAAACGATGTTTTATTGATTAATACGTGTGCAGAAAATAATGCATAAAAGAAAACATAGAAGAGTACAAAAGAAGTAAAAAAAAGGGGAAGAGAAAATTTTGAAATCTTTTTTTTTTTTTTGCGTTTTTTTTCTTGAATATGTCATAATGATAATATTTACATTGAAACAAAAATGACTACTGAGAAAGTGTGAAGTTGATGTCTACAACAAGAAAGAGAAAAAGAGATGCAGGTGTTTGTTGTTATTGTCAACACAAATACACACGAAGAAAAATGCAAATATGCGATGTTTTTTTTTAAGATGTAAAAACATTTTTCTTTAGAATTGATCAATCCACTTGGTTGTGTTCATTATTTTCTTTTCAATCTTTAGATTTTGTGAGACCTACAAATACTTAATTATCATTCATTTTTGATGGCTATTAATAATGATTTACCATCTATTGAACCTATATCAGTTAAAACTGCGTCGTCTTCTTCATCCACATCATCACCGTTGAATCAACGAAGACCATTAGTACAAGTAGCAACAAATAATAGTGCAACATTTATTCAGTTTCCTACAAGTACAACTCGTCAAGCATCTACATTTGTTCCTATTTGTCGTCCGCGAACAAGTTTATCTTCAATACGTTTACCATTACATACACTTGATACTCAATCAGTATCAAATCAATCCAAATTTTCAATTCATGCTCCATCATCTAGTAATATTAGTGATGATCATAAACGAAGTCATTCTCATCAACGAATAAATCCAATTTTAAGTAATCCACTTTTAAATCATCGTAAAGAACAACCAAAAACTCCTCCAATAAGACCTTCAAATGAATATTCTCGTACAACGAGAATTTCTCTATCATCAAGACCTTTAAAATCAACTGTAAATGAAACTCATATATCAAATAATCGTGCACGGACAGCTCCACATTTAATTCATCAAAAAGAACCGATTAATACTAATGTATCCGACAGACTAACCATTTCAATTGACAAAAAACCAAATGAACAACAAAGTCAATATATTGATCCAACGAAATATGATTATATTACTCGTTGGTTAAATGAAATACGATCAGCAACATCTTCCAATGAAACTGTTCGAACAAAATCTAAACGAATAAAACGACGACTAACACCATCTTCATCATAATTTAATCTCATTTTTTCTCTTTTTGTACTTATTTTTTTAGCTTTTGTTTATACGCAGAATTAAAATTCTAATTGATGCACATGATTTTAACGTTACCTTTCCATTCGTACTCGTTCGTATACAGAACAAAAAAAAAACAGAGTAAAATTTGTTTTTTTGAATAATAGGTGCATTCACTCAATAATACTCTAGACAAATCGATTATAGAATTCGTTTTGTGATAGATAACATACATATTCAATAATTTATCCGATCTGTTCTATCATATCCTTTTTTTCTAAGTAAGATCAATGCATCTATACGTCTTCTTTGTCTTAATTAAAGAAGTTTTTTCTTGTTCACATTCTACAAATGGTTTATGTAACCAAAGTAATTTGAAATATGTGATGTTATTTTTTTTGTACTACTACTTAATTGGCAATTATATCCATTGGTATGTTTGAATATATATCAAGATAAGAATTTGCTTTTTTTCTATTCTGTTGTTTCGTTTCTTTTTGATACATTTGACTTTAGGTGTGAGGTGAAGTGTTTCTCTTTAAAGTAAAATAAATTCATGATCTAGTTTTTTCTACTTCAATATTAAGTATATTATCTATAGATAAAATGTAACTATTCCCAGCTAACACAAAGAATACCTGCGATAAATATTAATCAAATTACATCTTTAATTAATTAGTACAAGTTTCAGTGACGAACCCAGAGGGAAGATCGGCCTCCCCTGAAAAGTACAAATACCTGGAGAGGAGTGCGGGTTTATCAAATGTTGCAGCCGAAAAACAGCTGATCTCCCTTCCTCCCGGAAAAAAATTTTGGTTGCGTGCCTGATAAGTTATGAGAACAAAATGACATATATAAATATTTTATTTATAGAACTAATAAAGTTTAAATCTCTTAAGAATAAATACCATGTCTGTTGCCGTTCAATAGACGAAAACCGGAGAATAATTTATATAATATTAATGATATCAATAACTTCGTATTCAATTCATAATTAGATAAATACAAATGTACACTGATACTACTATGGACAGACGTAATGAAAACTAATATGACTCTTTATAAACAAAACAGTTTTTTAGATAAACATATCAAGATACAGCACAAATTATTGATTGATATTTTCCTTAAAAAACAAGTGCACTTTTAAATGTCCATTAGATATAAGTGATGAGAATGAGAATAAAAGTAGAATGAACTTACTATGCTAAAAATAATTCAATTATTGCTACTTTTCTTGTCTTTGTGTACTTTTACACTTGGTGAATTTTGATTATAACATATGTTTATTATTAGTTTTATACTATTAAAATCTTTTAACGAAGATTTAACAAGAATTTTCAGATAGTGAGATAAAACAATATTTCAGTTTTTTTTATAAAAATTGTATTTTCAATTTTTTATGACGATATCATTTGAATCTAGTAGTTAGCACAGCAAAGTTAACCTGTATTAATTTTTTTCAATTCACCATAAAAAAAATGAATAATACTATGGTCATGAATTAACATAGATGTCAGTATATATGAAGTAAATAAGTATTTGATTGGTTGAAACTGTCAAAGTACTTCTCTCTCATGATATTTTATTTGTTTATTTATTCTGTCCTTGTATTTGAAAGTTAGTTCAAAACAAAACAAATCGTTATGACATTATAAAAAAAATCTGTTATGTAAAAATTCTAATAGTCAAGATTATGACGAGATACAATGATATACATTCAATGTTGATATCAATGATGATCGAAAGATTTCGATATCGATTGGATTTTGTTATTTATCGATAGTTTATTTCTTTTTTTTTCTCCTTAACCGTTTGTTTTGTTATATAAACTCCTAAAACAGTGAAAACAAACCTGTTAATTGTAAAATAAAATTAAAAAAAAACCAAAGCCTTCATTTTTTTTTGTCTCTTATATTCACGTCATAACTACTTTTGTGTATAGTTTTTTTTGTTATATTTGTTTTTTTTTGTACTATAACATATATATATATATATATATAAATGATGATGAAGAGCAACGGTAGTGGTAATGGAAATTCAACAACGTTTACTGTTCATGATCGTCTTGGTGCAGCTGTTGCTCCAAATACTAATACAACAACATGTTCATTAAATATATCAACATCAACAAATTGTCAATCAATGTCAACTTTAACAGCAACGACAACACCAAATAATTCAAATACGAATTTAATGCCTGCTGGAAGTTTATCATCAGCAACAGCAGCATCATGTAATATAGCAACAGGAAATAGTACTAATAATTCTCTAACCACAGCAACCACAACAACAACAACAGCAGCATCAGCATTAAATGGTCCCAATCAACATCAAGATTTAGTCAATCTATTTGAATGTCCTGTTTGTTTTGATTATGCATTACCACCTATTCTTCAATGTCAATCAGGACATATTGTTTGTTCACAATGTCGACAAAAACTTTCATCTTGTCCAACGTGTCGTGGACCGTTAGGTATGTCACATTGATCCTTAATAGTGATTATGAAGTTAATATAATCACAATTTTAGTGAGCAGTAGTTCATATCGTTCCTTTTAATAAGAAAAAATATCGATGATTAAAAAAGACTTTGAAATTATTTCAATTCTATGCGATACTTTCGAAATCAGCGTTCTCTTTATAGGTAATAGTTTCCTAAAATACAATAATAACTGAGTCACTTCCGGAATATTTAACTACATTTATATTTACTCGATTATGTTTACCTTAAAATAGAATTATTGAAATATATTTAATAGATTGTAAATTTTGACAAGTAAACAGAAAAAGAAGAACTTAAGAACAGATTTATATAAATATTTATGTTTAGGTAATATCCGAAATTTGGGTATGGAAAAAGTTGCTGATACAATATTATTTCCATGTAAATATCAAACAAATGGTTGTCTGTTAAATCTAATGCATAAACATAAATTAGAACATGAAGATTGCTGTGATTTTCGTCCAGTAAATAATATACATATTATCTTTCTATTGAATTTTTTATTTCTTCGTAGTATATGTGTCCATGTCCGGGTGCATCATGTAAATGGCAAGGTAGTCTTGAAAATGTAATGCAACATCTATGGGTTGCACATAAATCAATAACAACATTACAAGGTGAAGATATTGTATTTTTAGCGACAGATATAACATTACCTGGAGCTGTTGATTGGGTATGTTAGAATAAGAAGAAAATTATTGTAAATAAATTCTGTTTTCTTTATCTAGGTTATGATGCAATCATGTTTTGGACATCATTTTATGCTTGTATTAGAAAAACAAGAACAACAATTTTTTGCTATTGTACAATTAATTGGTAGTCGACAACAAGCAGAAAAATTTGTTTATCGTCTAGAATTAAATGGTAGTAAACGTCGATTAACATGGGAAAGTACACCGAAATCTATACATGATGGTATTCAACAAGCTATACTTCTTAGTGATTGTCTTGTATTTGATGGAGCAACAGCATTACTATTTAGTGAAAATGGTAATTTAGCTATTAATGTGACTGTATCCATCGGTTAAATTGATCTTTAATATCTCTTTCTATATATATATAGTTGTATCTAGCTGCATTTTGTTCCTCTGTTCGAGTTTTATGTTGCTTCTTGATTCTTTTTTTTTCTCATTCTTTCTTCTAAAATACAGTTTTCTTTCTGATTGATTACAATTCATAATTGTTAAATGGCTATGGTTTGTAGTAATATTGAATTATTAGAAATAGAATCGTTCAAGAATGATGAAGATTTTATATACGAATGAAATAATTCGAAAGTTAATAATAATAACAACATAAAAAGACTATTTATTCAAACAGAACAAAGAAAAAAGATTTTATAAACCTTTTTAAAATGGCAATGTAATATCTTAGATCATGTCTAGAGAAAAACGGAGTCCCAAATCAAAAACTCTGACATCAGATCTTGCAAAGCCTTGCAAGAGTCTGACAAAAATCGTAGTTTCTGAAATCTTGTATCAATTCATACCACATTTTTCTTGAAAGATCTAACGCGCCTGTATTTTTAAGTATAATTCTCAAGTAAGATTTTACGAAGATATTGATTTTAATGAAATCTTTTGGTGACATTCTACCGCATAACAGAATCTTACAAGAATTTTTAAGTACGACTAGGTGCAAGAAATCGGAGACTACGATCGGACATACGATTCCTACAAGATCTTACTATCTGATTATTCAACCTGGGGTGTTGTAGTGTAAAACTTCAAACATGAGCAAAGATTAACAACTCTTATTTATTTATATTCTACTTAGTGTGTGTAGCAATTTACATGATTCAAGCATAATTGATGACTATCGAGATAGTATGAAAAGTAATCATTGAATCTTGAATTTTGAGATCGACTATTAGATTCAAAAAGTTCTAAATTGCTCGAATATTCCATTCTAGAAAGGGAGTGGTCGAAAATCGTCACTTTTTCCGCACTCTAGAAATGTCATAATACGAAAATCCTTGTCACCCAGATCACGAATCTGACATCTGTTTGTCCAGATCTGATCCTTTTTTTCCAACGATTTCCATAGGGGAGTACTTCAGTCTAGTATTTGGTAGTTCGATGGGATGTCAAACAAGGTATTCAGAAAAAATTTTGAGAAAATTTTCTTTTCTCTCAAACTTTGTAGAGCTTCTTTCGCTGATCATTTTCGTATAAGGAAGCTTTGAATTCTATTGAGACATGTCGACGCTATCGTCAAAATAAAAAAAGTCAAGTCTCTAATCTCGAACCGACTATATTCTCAAGAAATATGACATAGTAGGTTTTAAAGAGCACAGTTTTCTCTACAAGACCTATTGTGTCATACTTCTTGAGAATATAGTCGGTTCGAGATTAGAGACTTGACTTTTTTTATTTTGACGATAGCGTCGACATGTCTCAATAGAATTCAAAGCTTCCTTATACGAAAATGATCAGCGGAAAAAGCTCTACAAAGTTTGGGGGAAAAGAAAATTTTTTCATAAAACTTTCTGAATATTTTGTGTTTGACATCTCATGGAACTACCCTACTGAGACCCAGATACCCCCTACGGCAAAAACGGCAAGAAAGGGATCAGATCTAGACAAACGGATGTCAGATTCGTGATCTGGGTGACAAGGACTTTTGTATTATGACATTTCTAGAGCTCGGAAAAAGTGACGATTTCTCGATCACCCCCTTTATATTACAGTGAATTATGATTTTTGAATAATTTTAATTCGGATATTTTTCATTCATTGAATCGAATAATTTTATAGTAAAACAAATTAATTTGAGTACATATCATACACATGACTACTGACGGAAGAAAGAAACATCTTCTAATGTATGATTTGATGAATAGTATTTTAATTCGTTATGACATATTGTCAATATCAATTTTCTTCATTCTTTTCTTGATCAACTTTATTACATTACATTTAACTCAAAAGAGATTCATTTGATACAAGCTGTGCGATTGATATACGATCAGACATAATTATACAATACTTTTCATCTTTTTCTTTTTTTTTATTTACTAAAAAACAAACATATTTATCTTCATGGATAATTAAATGAAATATGATGTAAACAAGAGAGAAAAATGCACAATAATTATTTTGTTGTATCTCTATAAAGTATCCAAACATTGACTATTAATAAGCATTTCACGAGTTAAACGCCAACATTGTTTAGCAGCATTATCTAATGCTAGAATTGGTTTACCTTTAAATAAATCTACATTAGGTAAAAAATAATGTGGACATTTTCGACATTGTAAACATGATATTAATTGTAATAATATACCATTAAGACGATCACCTAATGTGATATCATCAGACCATTCATGTTCATTTGGATGTTTTTCACATTCATATAAAACTAAAGATTTTAATACATAGTTTGTTATTGGTATTAAATCAAAATTACGATCACGTAATGTTTTTAATAATGAAAGACATTTACGTCGTGTACCACTTTGTAAAAGACGATCTTCAGCTTCTGTAAATGACATTGACCATGCATCACCTTCTGAACTTGCTTGTTTATCTTTCATATAAATTGATTCTTTTGATAAGATATTAAAACCTTCATTTTTAACTTCATTTATTTGATTTGCATTTGGCCATAATGAAAATTGTGTTGTACCAAATGGCCAATGTGATACAGAACGTGGCCATAAACCAGCACAACGAAATGCTGGAATAATATGTACAATATATTTATCACGTATACGAAGACGAACTTCCGATGTATCCATTAATAATTGTACATAATCTCGACATGAACATTTGTCACATGCTTGTGCAACAAGAGCTTGAAAACGTGAACGAATTTTACGTGCTGATAAATAACCACTTGCTGTTATAAATTCAACCCATAGAGACATCGAACGTTTACGACCATCGGATAACTTTAAAACAGCACAACCAGGAATTGTACCATCATCAACAAAATTAAATACACCCATTTGATTTAAATAAAGAACGACCTTAAATTGAACAGAAAAAATAACAAATTTTGATTTTGTTTAAAAACTTACTTCAAATTCAGTTTGTGATACAACTGTAAGACCTTCAAAACGACCATTAACTTCATTTAATGATGAAATAAATCTTGGTTCTTGTGATTCAACTTCATGTAATACTTCCGTAACAATTTTTGAAAGTTCTTTCACAGTTTTATATATCGAATTTTTTCGTGGTATAACTTTTTCATGAAAATATTTATTAAGTTGAAGAGCAAATTTATTCGATGGACATAACATTTTAATATCTTATTTATTCAATCATATTCGATACGAAACAAAAAAGTATATATATATACCTACCTTTATCTTTTTCTTTTCCTCATATTCTTCTTTTTTCTTTCCTTCAATAAACCAATCAAATAATATATTTTGTCTTACCAATAGAAAAAAAATATCTCTAGAGAGAAAATACAAATAACACGATTTATTCATATATCATCTATTGATTGTATAAAATAACTAAATCGATGATTTTTTAAAAAGAATCAAATTTATTTCTATTTCTCAAAATCAAATATGATTATGTTCAGTGAGTGGATTTTTCTTTTTTTTGTCATTTTATCCAACAAATCTTTGTTTTTGATTAAAAATCACATTGCTATTGTTATTTGTTGTTGTTGATAAACCGTTCGTGCGTGAGATGAGACACAGTAAAGGAGTAATTAGAAACATCATTCATATTCATCACATATGTAATTGAACTGAGCGTGAAATATGAGGACGGATGTTTATCATCGTCGTGTGCGAATAAAAGATGCGGTCACTTGATAAAACAAGAGTCACTCAGCACGACAGGAGGTGGAGTAATAAAAATGGACAGTTTATATTAACTCTTCTGTTACATAGAAAATCTTTTTCTTTGCATTAACAAAAAAATCACATGGTTTCAACCAATTATTTATCGTAAGTCAAGGATTTGTAATACGAAAAAGAAAAAAACAGAAATCTATAAGAATGATTCATTTAAAAAATAAACGACATTGATCGATGATGATTACATTGTTTACCAAAATGAAAACATAAACATATAAAAAGTATGTTTCAGTATATCAGACGAAGTCTGAAAATGAAGACATAGGACGAACGGATATAATGTCTATTATTCTTCTCTAATCGATCTTTTCTCACTATATGTATATTGTCCATTCAAGACAGATTATATCGATATACTTATACACTTCATTTGATTGACATGACCAGATAGATGATGACTAAAATATAATAGGTGAATAAGACAATAGAATGATCTAGTATTAGTATTTACTTGCCTATTAAATGAACCGCATAATGACACGAACAAATGACTTTAGGGTGTTGAATGAATATGAACGGAGAAAATTACTTGAGATGTTTTTTGATTCAATAGAAAAAACAATGGTTAATTATCAAAACTAGATTATAATAAAAGTTTTTTGCAGAATAATCTTGATACTATATATATATTTATTATTGATTATAATATTTACAATTCTTGTGATTATTATCGAAAAATCGTTTTTTTTTTCATTCTAATTCGTATAATCAAATGTCACCGACAAAAGAACATATATTATGTATAATCAAAGAAGCTGAATTAAAAAAAAATAATTGAATAACAGAGAGACAGAATAACGAAAATACAAGTTTGTGTATGTGGAAATATATTTAATAAACAAAGAGTTTTATTTTATGTATAATTATGAACATTCTTTATTTTCTATTTTTTAAATCTTCAAATCGACGAGCTAAATCATCAAAGCCATCATCTGAACCTCCATGAGCAGCTGGTGGTGGTGGTGCTGATCGATCATTTGGAACTTGTGGAAATGGATCATTAAATGGTGTTTTAGCATTATTATCAACATGAAAACCCATATATGGTCCATTTGCTGCTGATGATGGTAATGGTGGTGGAATCGATGGACCAAAATTAATATTTGGATATTGAGGTTGAGGCTAAAATAAAATACAAACGATTATATATCAGAATTTTAACGAAGTAAATATTTTCATAACACGAGCATATTAAAAAAAAGAAACTTACTCCTGTATAAACTGGAGGTGCGTTGTTAAACTGTTAAATATTAGGATGAATGAAATAGTTAGTATATTATTCTTTCTCCCCCTCTTATTTATAAAATAAATATAAACAAACTTACTATTGGTGCACTTGGTTGATTTGATGGAGCTGTTGGAAAATCTAGACGACCTCCAC